GTCTGCCTCACAGTTGGTTCCGTGGGAGCCCGGAGGTGGAGGAGGAGAAGGAGAAGGAAGAACGGAAGGGGAAGCGGGAGGGAAAGAGGCACGAGCGTCAACTGCCGAGAAGGGCCATAGCGACTGAGAAACGGCAACAACGGGGAGAGCCGACCGCGTTGCCGCCGAGCCCTGAGCGAAAGGAGGAGCCGGAGTCGCCGCGCGGACCTTTCCCCCACCCATCTCCCGCCCTCTGACGGGCTGGGCGCACGCTCATTGGTGGTGGCTGCCGCCAATCGACGGCCTCGGAGCGCCGGCTGCCTTCCACGCTCCCCCTAAGTCTTGGCGTCCAATAAAAGGATAAGAAGCGAAGGCAGGCTCCCTCCGATTGGTCAATTTGGCTGTTGGCCCGGCCTCTCCCTCGTGCTAGCGTGTAGAGGCTCCTCGCCTCACAAATCTTGCGCTTGGAGGTGTGGAGGCGAGGGGGAGCGGTTTGGTGGGCGCGGCGAAATGCCCGGTCCTTTTTAAATGCGAACTTCTGAGGGAATTTTCCAAAAGAAACTGAAAAAAACCGTGAAGTTATCGACCCTGTCGAAGGCATGATTTTATACTTTTTTGAGGAAAAAAGTCTAGGTTCGTGTATCACAGTCATCCATAGAACATAGCATTGGTGGCCCCATTTCCACAACTAACGGCCATAAAACAGTTAATTGCAATGGCAGATGTTTCACACGAAAAAGAAAGTTAGATTATGGCCTAGTCTAGGAATGCCAGATCTGGGCTGCTGTACTTCAGGCAGCCACCAGGTGGCAGCACACAATACAGGCCATTCTAATGCCTTGCTGCCATCTAGTGGTCTTCTGCAGGATGGCAGCCCACATGTGGTGATTCAGGCATTCAGTATGTCCCCATTCTTTGTGAAATAATGGACATCATTTTGCCAGGATTGTCTGGCAGTAACTGTTTGTTTGAATTCTTGGATATTCGTCATGGTCTTCTGTGTCTTAATGTTTGATTTTTCCAAGCATCAGTGTCTTCTCCAATGATTCTTGTGTTTGCACGATGTGTCCAAAGTATAGCTTTAGTTTTGTTATTTGAGCTTCCTGTGAACAGTCTGGTTTTACTTCTAGCATTGCATTAAGCAATTTAGTGTGTTTCCATGAAGCAGGCCAAAGACTAGTGAGCAAAATAGGCACACAAAAGTTGATAAATGGCCCATAATCAGATTGTCTTGTGGATTCATTCTGTATCTCCTTTAGAGTGATATAGTACTTATAAACTGTAAGTATCTGTAAGCATTACAAATGTGATGGAATAGACATGAAAACAACCAGGCGGGACTAGAACTCACCAAGAAAAAATATTGTTTTATAAAAGTCAGGATATTTATAGTATCCTGCAATGCATATCACGCCTGCATAAATGGATAGAAATTCAGTTATCAGAACGTCTTCATCTGTTGAATTCTGATTTGCAGGTAGCTATTAAAAAGCACAGGAAACTCATATAGTATTCCTAAATCAGTCTATATAGTAGAAAATATTTCTGTGTTGACATATTCTCAAAAGCTGATGATAGGTAGGTTGTGGGAAGGATTCACCTGAATCACAGGGCTATCTAAATGCAAGGTTAGGAATAAGTCTTAAAAAGGAAATAAATAATCAGGCATGAAAAGAGCTCCACCCAGAGTGCAGTTGTGATAAATGGAAGATGTAAAAGTGGTAATTGGATAATTTGGGGCCTGTGTAAGAGTAGAGATTGCTTTGTAGTCTTTGTTTTAAGAAGGTTAATGTTTAGAGAAGTGGTATTCTTATGTGTCTTGGTTGTGAGTTCTTAATGTGTATGTGTTCTAATATGTGTTGTTGTACCATATAAAATTGTGACAGTAAAATGCTCTGGGTATAAAATGCAAATATGTCCATCTTTGGGATTACTAGTACAAAAACAACTTCTGAAAAAATTGCTATAGCCTTGTTTTTTATGCTATGTTTATCTGTTATAATTGTGGCTTAATATAATTGGATTGAAAAGACTACTGTATTATGTTATATTATTGTTTTAAAATAATTATATAGTTGAATCAGGTTTGAAACTTGAAATTATCCAAGATGTTGACTTTAATGGCTACATATTTGTTGTACAATCAAATGTCAGCATAGGAGAACTTATAACTTTTGAGTAATTATTCAAAGAATAGTTAGAATATTCTATTATTAGAATAAAAGACTTATTAAGCTGTAGGTTATTATGAAACATGACTATCTTTATAGTACTCTGAGTTTGCTTTATTATAGTTTACTGAATAAATCATAGTAGGCTAGTTCATCTGCTAAACAATAATTCATGGTTTATCTGCAAAAATTGACTTTATGTAGTCCAAACACAAACTGTATTGATACATGGTATATGAACCAATACAGTATCTAGCTTTGGTATGCATCCGCAGAAGTTACCTCCTATTCTTGTTAAATTCAGTAGATGGTGATTAGATAAACTACAGTAAAAAAAAAATTAAATATTAAAGTTTTGCTTCATGTCCTCAGAAAGCTAGTTGTATCCATACAGTCTTTTTTTTCCTAAATTCATATACTTGTATGAGCTTGCTATTAATGTTTATAGCTACTTTTTTTACATGTGGCATGTAAAATGAACTTTTTGTTAAATACTGTAGCTCTTGTAGCTGTATTTTTCTTACATAGCTTTTGTTCAGGCACAGAGGTAGGAAGAAAGAATTAAAGGACATTGTTAATATTTCAGGCTAAATCAAGTATGATGGGTTTCTTTTTATACAGGTCAGTGAGATAAGTAACTAGGTTCAACCATTCTAAGGTCTGTTAAAACAATTTATTGGAAAACAGTATCAGTAGCATATTCTCTAACTATGACAATTGCTTTAATTTTTAATTCTAGAAGCTATTACTGTGTGCTATAATGACAGAGTTCCTGGTTTGTTTTAACTGTTGCATTGGAGATCAGCCTCGAACAGTGAGTTTGTTTTACTTAAAAAATGTATATGCTGTATTTCAGAGCAACAACCCAAGGCAGCATACTCAAAACCATCATATACGATACAGATTTCAATTAAAATGCAATTTAATTTTTAAATACATTAAAATAGCAGTAGAAGACTGACATGTTAAGCCATTTTATTTCAATATTAAATTCAAGTGCTATTTTATAGCAGGCTTTGTAATCCAGAGCTCAGCTATAAAGGAAAAAAATCAGAAAATATTGAATAGGGAATCTGAAATAAAACTCTATTAGAAAAATCAAAGACTTGGTATATTTTCCCTCACTAGTCAGATCTTATTGACTTTTATGGGAATTGTCATGAGCAATCCTAAAATCTTTCCCCTGTGATGAAGAAAAGGATGGAAAGCTTAACTTTCTCTATTACCGTGTTATAGTGTTATCCAGCTCTCCTTCAGTCAGTGGAAAACTACCTTATCATTTGTTGTATCCATTGCTCATCCTTCTCTTCTTTTGTTCCCAGGATCACTTAACCCAGTCTCATTCACTAGCAGCGGATGAGATGAAATAATAATTTATTAAACTTGCATGCCACATGACTCCGGATGGCAACATCATGGGGACATGATTAAAAACAAAAAAATGTTTCCAGGCCATGTTTATGCCATGATTAAATACAAACAGGGCCAGAACCTGTATTGTGAATATTATAATGACTGCTAAGTACAGGAACTATGTATCTTGCGCCAAAAGGAATTTTCATCACAGTAGTAGTAATAGATATATATAAAACATCAAATGTCAATTATAACAGAACAATTAACTATGACTGTCTTAATTTATAAAAGATCTAACAAAATGATTTTATGTGTTTCTCTCTGTTTTTTAAAGAAGAGGCATCCACGACTTGACAGAAAAATGATAGGAGAGCCAATGAACTTTGTTCACATCACTCATTTTGGAACAAAGGAGATGGCCAGTAACCCCCCATCAGTAAGTATGTTGGGGAGAGAAGCAAAAAAGTGTTACATTTGCATTCTCTATTAATGTTTAGGTATGACTATCAAGATACAGTAATCCTATGAAATGGAAGATACTTTATTTTTCTTACATTATCCTCTCTAATCTTTGTGTGATGCATCAATGTTTCTGAAGAACTCACCTGGCTTAAGGGTATGTGAATTCCTTTGCACATTTATCCTTTGAATACATTCTTAACAGTTTTCTGGGTAAACATGCATTAAAGGAAATGCATGGTTTTTGCAAAACTGTTATTAATGACTAAAATGTGTAATGGAGCTTATAACTGAGACTTTAGAGTCAGAGAAAATTAACTAAAAGTTAACCAGACCTAGAATTAATTGCATAAAAATAGTGGAATTATTTTAAGGAACAAATTATACTATGTAATGTTAATAGTATTAATCAGCCTTCCATAATCTTATGCTTTTTCCAGGTTGGGCAAATTCAGGAACGGATGAATTCCAAAGGAGGCTACAGCAACCATTCTATGAGTACACAGGTTTAGGAGGTCTTCAAATTAGGTGGCAGTGTCCAAGTAATTAACCAATCTCTTCAGATACAAAGCTGTATATTTAGATTATTCATTACTGTTTGTATGGTGGTTGTAAACTGCTAAGATGACACCACTTGTTATTCTGTGACAGTCTGTTCATGCTGGGGATCTGATTACAAAATGATAAAGCTATGGTTAACCTTAATGGGCAGCATCATATTTGCTATCTGTTCTAAATGTAGTATTTAAAGTACTACATGTAGCTACAGTTTCAATTCATGGCTCTTTCTCAGCTATAAATCTTGGGGTTTTAAATTCTATGAGGGTGAGGAAGAAGCAGAGAAGCTAGGTTAAATATCTAATCAGTTCTAGCTTCTATAAAACTAAGACCTACAGAAAATTCTGTCTAGCTTGAGAAGCAGGTCTTAAATCTGATCTTGGCCATGGATTACTTGTCCTTAATGAGATGCTGTTGTAATCTTTCAGAAAAAAAAATAGTGCTTGGGAAAACATTTTTAAGTACTTTAGAGTTTATTTTTGACTTTTTGATTAAATAGGCCTTTAACAAAAACTTGAGAATCAAAGATTTGGTCTGTTTGGCTAATATATTTCTTGGGCTATGAGTGGGAACTTATCCTATGCCTTAAGCTCTACTCAGTCATTGACAAAAACAATGTTTAAAACATTTTGCATCACAGCCATGCTAGGTGCCCTAAAAGGCTTTTCGAAGTGTGCTGACAAATGAAAGGGTTAGGTAAAGAATAGTAATGTAAAAATTGACTATTATTTTGAAGTAGGACCAGGTGATAGAATTCTTGCTGCTAGTGGGAACTGCAGAAAATGTGTGGTGTGTGATGACAATCTTAATACTGGTTGCTTCTGTTCTAAAATTCAAGACTTATTATAAAAATGTCTCTTCCACCCCTTGGAAGATGGGTGCACACTCTGAATTTACTGAGTTTGACTCAAATGAATCCAGAAACATTTGTCTGATTCATTAAATCACTTGTACTGTTAATTCTTGCCTGAAACTGTAGTCTGAGTTTAGTATCTCTGAACTACAATTTAAATTGATTCGTGGTAGTCAAGTTTTAGTGCATGAGTCAAAAGATGTTTCTAGAACAAAACTGAAGCATGCTGCTGATGTGGCCTAAATGTATTTATTATAAAGCTATCACAACTCCAGCTGCATGAAGTGAAAGCAGAGGGCTGAAGTCCTAGATTTAATGGACCCTCTATTACTTGAAAATAAATTTGCTTTAATTAGATGGTGTCATTAATTTTACTGTGAAGACCAAACTCAAGCACCTCAAGTTTTAAAATAGGCATTTTTAACAAGTGACCTGTGTACTGTTTTAAATAATTCAATCTTACTAAAATGTGTGTGTTTGTGTGTGTGAATATTATTCAGAATAGTGTATCTACTGCAGATGGCTTCTGTACACTTGTAAAAAAAAAAAAGATCAAGTATTTGACATCCCTATGAAGTTCATCCTTGTTCTTGAGCAGTAATATGTCAAATTGTTAATGTTTGTGCAAAGGTCTAAGGTCTGCATTATGGATTGGAAGGTGTTGTAGTAGTGAATGTAATACAAATGGAACTAATGCTCTGATGATCAGATGAGATCAGGTACTGGAGATGAATTAAACAACTTCTGAAAACCCAGTTTTGCCTTGAGTGTTAAGGCTGCCTTAAAATGAGTCGCAATGTGAGTGCTGTTCCCTTGTTAGTCATTTCCCAAGCACCTCAGTACTGGTTCCTACAAAGGATTCAATGTTATGGACTGAATTGCTGAAATTGGCAGAATGCTCTCTTTTGGGGAGAGAATAGGACAACATGATAACACAGAGCCAGTTGGATTTTATTAGCATATAGACAACCGGTGACCCTTTGGGTCATTGTTCCAGAGAGATTTCCTTACCTAAACAGAGAAACAGGATGACCAAGGGCAAAAAAGCAGTGGAAGTGTGAGTGACTTGCTGCCTGCAAATTAATTTAGCTCAAGAGTTACTCTGTTGTTGCTTAATATTTTGACCTGCACAGATTAGTGCTCTCCAGCTATCACAAGCCCCATTATTTTCACTTGGGTCTGAGAGTTATGTAACACCTTGGATGGCCACCCGAGGTGTGATTATTTAGTCTGCCTTTAAGAGCCAGACTAGTCAGTCATGTGCCCACTTCCTACGGCTGACAGTTTCTCTTGTACCAAAAATAAATCCGCTTAAGGTTCCTGCCGGTAGCAGTCGGGCTCCGTGGTGCCATGCATAAGGTCTTACACGAAGGGAGAGCTGTTGATATTTGCCTGTAAAAGGGACAGTGATTAAACATTACAGCATTTCAGTCTAAATAAGCCAAAGGACCCGGCAGGGAAGAGAGCATATATCTCCATCGCAGTCGCCGTCCTGCTTTTCCATGGCTGGCAGGGCTGGGCGGGTTGCGATTAAACAATCCCTACAGCGTAACGCTTTAGGCGTGGGATTGTCTAGTGCAGTTTTGGTGAGCCCAAACCAAGGGATCTTGAGCCGCTGCCGCAGCAGGCGGACGATCCCTTAGGATTTCCCCAGCTCTGGCCGAGGGGATCAGCCTGGCGGACCCTTGGCCGGCGTCCCGCCCTGCCAGAGATTTTGGCCAGCTTTTTGCTCGCGCTCGGGACCCGTCGCCTTGGATGGCCTGCCTGGGG